GACAAGCACTAGCAATGAGGTGGAATGATTATACAATTACTGGTAACAATGCACGCAGGTAACCACTGACATGAATTCGACCCGGAAAAGTCAAAATTTTGGGTTGCGGAAACTCCAAGAATGTCTAAGAATTACTAGAAACATAGCGTTCAGAATAATTGGCAATCAGTTTATGAACCTTTGTGAAAGAGATCAATCAGTCAGTCACAAAACCAAAGGGTTAACAACAAATACAGTTAACGTGAATTCAAAGGCAAATGAAGAAGACAAAATCGACAAACATAGCCAATAACAGGCAAGACCATTAAAATGAACTGATACAACACTTATAGAATAGCTAAAAAGCTTACATCTACATAAATTTAGGAGCTGAAGATATTGTCCAAAATGACAATGAAAGCTCCAGAATTAAAGCATTAAGCTTAGAAAACTCAATACTATCAAAAACAATGAACACTCCTCGTAAGTAGATAATCTTACATTTTTGACATACAAGTTGTAGTTTGAATACTGAGGTTTTATGGTTTCTTGCAAGTAGTTTAATTTTCTGTCACATAGAATATTTCACAGATTGAAATCATGAGTCAGTTGAAGCTAGACCACCATTGAAAACCTGGAAGCACTGGACGGCCGTTTCGTCCTAGTATGGGACTCCTCAGCAGTGCGCATCCACGATCCCGCACCACGCGGGGCTCGAACCCACGACCTACTGGCTTCGCGCGCGAGCACTTAACCACTAGACCACTGAGCCGGCATCCAACGGTGTTAATGTCTAACTTCAACCAATCCACGAAGTTGCGCCACCGTACACCATTGTCTTCAGTGAGTTCCTATCTCACAACAGACCTGGTTGAACTCCACTGGTAACGGTTTCTCACTAGAAGTTCGGGAGTTTTCCTGAAGTCAGTCACTAGTGAGCAGTTTATTATTATCAGAATGGGTTTTGTGGAGATTTTAGAAATTTCACAGATTAACTGACTTCAGGAAAACTCCTGAAGTTCTAGTGAGAAACCGTTACCAGTGGAGTTCAACCAGGTCTGTTGTGAGATAGGAACTCACTGAAGACAATGGTGTACGGTGGCGCAACTTCGTGGATTGGTTGAAGTTAGACATTAACACCGTTGGATGCCGGCTCAGTGGTCTAGTGGTTAAGTGCTCGCGCGCGAAGCCAGTAGGTCGTGGGTTCGAGCCCCGCGTGGTGCGGGATCGTGGATGCGCACTGCTGAGGAGTCCCATACTAGGACGAAACGGCCGTCCAGTGCTTCCAGGTTTTCAATGGTGGTCTAGCTTCAACTGACTCATGATTTCAATCTGTGAAATTTCTAAAATCTCCACAAAACCCATTCTGACATAGAATATTGTTTATAATTACTAACATTTTCAAATTTATTTACAGAAATATAATGTATAAAAAAAATTCATGTAAATATTAACGCTCTTTTATATCACAAACTTTAACCCAAATCTAAATTTTGGAAGATTATAATAGAATGAACAATCATTGATTAATTGATATGAGATAATTACCAACAACAACAACAACGAAGAAACATTGAAAGGAAGAGTAAACAGTAGATGAATACAACCACCAAAATAAAAGGATAAATAGAGTAAAAAAAACATCCCAAATATGCATCTGGTATATAATATTGACTAAAGAATACTGAACGGTGATTCATTCATTTGTTGTTATTTTATTTATTTATTTTTTTGGAAACAAGAGAGGACAATAGATGTTATGTGATAGATAGTGAATGAGATAAGAGGCGGTTAACAATAATAACATTGATAATAAGGATAGTAATAATACTAGTACTTATAAGAGCACTAACTGAAATGTAATTCTCATATCAGAGTAAATATACTTGTAAACTATTCAGTGAATACAAGGAAATAATATAAACAAAAGGCGTGGTTCTTTTTTTAAAAAAAACTAATTTATAGAATGTTTAGAGAAAACATTCAAGAAATTTATTGATTAAGAAAATAAAACAGTTCATCATGAGGATTTATTATGCTTTGAATATATATTTATGGACCTTTACTGATAGTCTACAGGTAATTGTACAAAACAGAGTAAAATAAATTATTAGAAGTCATCGAAGTAGTTATAATGATTAAGAATTCTTTGACATAATGTTCCGGGTTTGATCCCTAGTAAGGTCTTGGAGTGCACACTACTGAGTCCTATACTAGGATCAATTAGATATCCAGTACTCACAAGTTTTCAGTAAGATTATTCTAAGGCTAACATAAACTACAAATTAAACATAGCTCCATAAAACTTCTAAAACTAAAACATATTTGTGTATAATGAATAAAACCGAAGGAAAATGTATAGGTTAATAGTTAACTACTGGCATAAATAAAGAATCTGTCACACAGAAACTCAGTTGTGAATTGAATAACTCAATGTCAAGATCTAAGCGCTCCAAATGCCCTGGTACGGTCGAGAGTGGGGAGATTCTAGCTCACCTCTCGAAATGCTCTCAAACGGTCACGCGTATATAGCAATCATTAGAGAATCCCTGCTCACTGCCTTCTCAGGGAAGGGGTTTTGTTACGAAATTCAGAGGACGAAAAGAGAATGTTTGGCGTGAAAACCGAGTTGGTGAATATGGAGAATCCACGTAGGTGAGTTGGAAAACCCTCATTTTAAACCAATGGTGTACATGAATTCCAGGTCCCTGGGAGAAGAAATGGTGTATAAACCAATTGTTGGTCACTGACCACCATGAGACTGCATCTCCTAACGTTGCGCCACTGCCTTGTGGACCTCTAGGCCAAAAACTCGAGGAGTGACCCTCAAGAAAACCACCTGCTTTGGTCTGGGCACACGGGCAGTATTCCAGTCCTTATACAAACCAAATGACGAATTGTGGCGCATATTTGGTGCCCTCTTGTACTAATGTTTATGTGTTTAAATAAATAAATAGAACAAAATCTATCACTAATTGATTGAATGATTAAGATTATTGTTAGACACGGTTAATGGTAAGTACTAACTGGTATGAAACCTATGTCACGGAATTTTTACAGCTTAATACATAAGTACTAAGAGCAAAATTTAAGAAAAAATGATTAATTAGATTCAGAATTGGAAGAGAACGGTGATGAGAAATAATTTTTTTAAAATGATTTCATTACTAGACTAGTTCCGTTATTAAAAAATAGCTCAATAAGTTTTGTTTATGAACTGTAAAACAAATGTTATAAGTTGTAGAATATTTAAGTCTGAGCAAGAAGAATGATGAGTTTTTTGGTAGTCATCATTTGGTAAAGGTATAATGCACTGGTGACCTTGAAAGGCTAACCAGACAATCAGGAAGCGCTACACCTTTATAAGATAATTAACAATAAAAAACAGTGGAACAACAGCTTGACTTAGATAAATTATTCTTTACAGTAAGTGAAAAATGTCAAGTTTACATAAATGCATACATATTAGGAGTAGCATTGGTATTGTGAAGTAGGCTTATCACCTAATGAAGTTTATGTCACCATATGACATTGGTTGTAATGTAATTAGGTTAGGGTTAGGTATTAAGAATAAGGTTGGAGTTTTCAATTGGACTTAGAGATTAGGGTTGAGGCTTTCGTTACCAACTGACATCGGTTATAAAGCAATGCTTTGCTACCCTTTTGTTTACAAATTTAAGAAACTTAGGGTTGAGATTTAGAGAGAGTTAAAAAGGGAGAATATTATCTATGTTCACTTAACACTCTTGACTGTGCATTGAATCACACTAAGCACTTTAACCCATAATCTTCCTTAAGAACAGGTATGCTTTGTCATTTAGCTGAAGCACCATCTTAAATTCATATCTGGTTGGATAATATTGATTTTGAGCATTTTAAAAATCAATTATTATCGATTTTTATTTAGTTAATAATAACAAGTTATCTATCAACATAATTCAAACATCGCGTAAAAGACATGAAGAGTTACCTTAATTTTGATCGGTTAGTTCACGGCTATTAGTACGTTAAACCTTTACTCATCTTTCTATTCCAGGTAACATTGCAGACAGTAGACATAAATATTTATGTAATGTGATTATAATAAAATCAGATGATGAGTAGAACACTTTGTAAAAATAATTACATCACCGAGTCAGAAACGGAACGGAGATTAACAGTCGTGTAAAAAGTTATGCAGATACTTAAAAGATAAAGTGTATCATTATGTATCAGTTTGATGTCAGATGCTTTCGACACCACTCAATCTACAAGTATGGAACATCAATATACTAAATTGTATAGTCTTTAGTTTCTTGGTATCTTGTTTAGGTGTAGAAATAATTTTAGATAAATCGATCCATTTGCTTTTAAACAACCTAATGGTACAGTAAAAAGAAATCTATGGCGACGATGTAAAAGTAATACAACTTTATCTACGTGAACATCTGTACAATGGGCTTTGAGTTATACTTTTTATAGGAGGCTTAGTGATATTGCTTGACCAGTGAGTAGTGACCAATGTCATAATGTTTGTCTGATCCTTTAATCCTAATTAAATCACTAAGTAGTGGTAATTATTGCCAATCATGGATTAACCTGGGCTTTTACACAACAGGAGTAAAGTTTCACACATGGTACACAGAGTCTGACTCGGCTGACAGAAGTTGCATTAAATCAGATGGAAGTTAGCTTATACACTACGGTAAAACCCTTTATATAAGGACGTGATAGTAATAAGGGCCAATTTGTAACCGGCTAATCGTTGATACATTGATATATTAATATATATAAAGCATATTATATCACAATTAGCGCCAGGGTATTCACATACCTCAGTCAATAAACCACTATTCATAAACACAATCTAATGGTAAAAACTATTGAATGTAGGAACTTTATACAGTTACATTTGATGAATATTAATATTTCAATTGAACTGAAAAATTAGGATTACACATCAAAGGAGCGTCATTTGATACAAAGTACTCATGACTATACAACGTGAGTTATATATATATATATATTCTAAAAGCACTTACCCAGCAAACGCAACAATTAATCGTTTAATTAAAGATTCTTCGTCATCAGGAATTGATTTGTTATGAATAAAGAAGTGTTTATTCATAAATATATCGGGAAGACTGTTCATAAGTGATTCTTTAATAGTTTCCTCATCCTCATCTTCATGAACGACCGACAACTGATTACGACTCGATGTCATGACTCTATAGGAAATGAAAAAAACAAGACGGAGAGGATTATTCGTTAAACATAAAAAAAAGACAAATACAAAAGATACTGATGGGAAAACTGTTCTAAACTCACACTGGATAAACGTTGCCGGAAAATGTTCAGTGATGACTAAGCGTTATTATCAAATCCATTTAGCAAAACTGCATTTTGTTGAGATGATCGACCAATCTGCGTTAGACAATTATTAGAAACCTGGAAGTTTTGAACAGCTGTTACATCTTACTATGACACTCCTCAGAAGCGCGCATCCACAACTCCATTAGGAAGGATCGAAGACGAGAGTTTCAGTCTCGTGAACGAACGCTAAGCATCTAGACCACTGAGGCCCTATTCGATGGTATACAAGTATAATTTCAATCAATTTGCGATATTGTGCAACCATCTTCGATTGTCTTTAGTGAGTACTTTACTTACACCCGACACTGTTGAGCTTTACTAATGACAGCTTATAAATAGGACTCCGATAATTTCCTTATGAAATCGGTCACCAGTGAACACATGATACTTATCAATATGAAATTGTACTGATTCATGAATTTAACATAATTCATCAATCTCTACAACCTTCATATTGCTGAAACTGTATCTTTTTAGGGAATTTACTGAGAATCGGCGGAATAGATCAAGTAATCTGCAGTGATATCACACCGAATAACCTTAATGTTCATTCAAAATAGTCAATTGGTCATTACTTCCTATAGAAAAAAATAAAGTGGTTGTTTGAAACCTAACCACTAAAACAAACCGAATTACGGATCTCTGATATATATGAGAACTTGTGAAGCGTAAGTTGTTTGTACGATTTTATATGTACTGGCATTTAAGCTCATACAGATGACGAGTCCCATGTACGAAGAAACGTGCGTCCTGGATTTCACTGTTTGTCACCATCCATCTCTGCTTAAAAACATCTGTAAGACATTTCGACTCAAGATTCATCAAACCATGTTTACTGGTTAATCAACTTTTTATTATTCGATTGAACGTTAGAACTGCGTTGCATTATCCACTTTAGTAAACCCAGAAAAATATTAACGCTAGCTCATTTACAGGAAATAGAATAACTCAAAGATAAGTCAGTTACTTCTAAGTTACATAGATGGAATCTAGTGTAAACTGAAATGTTGATGATGTGAATCTTTGAGGTTTATTGCAAATACAATATTCATTTGTGCTTGAAAAGTAAACTAACGATTAAATCTATAATTTGTAAAATATTTTTTATTGTTGACTTAAGTCAGTTGGGGGACTGTTTCGAAAAATGGTAGGCATTGAACTGCTTTGTTTAGTCTCAGTTTGGATTTCCTCAATAGGGGAAAAGACTTTCTAATTATCCAGTGATGTTCAATAGTTCTTAATGAAAACCAACTTTAAAAAATTTCAACAACATGATGTAACTTTTATTAGTATTGGTGTGTGTGACAAAGAGAAATCGATCGAAAAAGTAGATTCATTCGAAACACAGATATATGAACGAATGTTCTTTCCAACCGCTTCTTTTCAGGTCCTATAGTTATGTTAATAATACAACAAGTGGTCAGGTTTAAGGTAAATATATCATTCAAAATTATACCATGTGAATTTAGGGTTGTTTGCAAAATTAAATAAGATTGTTAGTGAGCGCTGCTGAGAAGTTACATATTAGGACGAAACGACTGTCTAGTGTTTCCAGGTTTTTAACGATGGTCTAGCTCAAATCACCTTGTGATTTTAACCTTGAAAATATGAATAGGTTTATATGCCAAATAAAATTGTAAGATTAATGATCAGAATAAATATGGGTAACACAGGAATGCGAGAGATAGCAATATAATTATAAATCAAAATAAACATTTGGTCAAGGATTATGTAATATATCGAATAACGTGAATCAGATAAGAAATCGTAGATGGGGTTAAGTACTAAATAACATGATGGGAATTTTTTTCCTTAGATTTATTTATTTAAATATATTTATCTGACTTGCTAACTCTTGTCAGTGCATAACAAGTACATAAACTTATCAAGTATTACACTACTGAAAATGTTTATAGTTATACTAATAATATGAATAAATGTGCGTTTTTAAGATCTTATAATGATCATATGCAGAATGAAATATAAAATAAACATAAAGCACAGTTATATTTTTTTTATATGGAGCCATGATAGGATATAGTTTTCAATGTAGATTTTGTTTACAATATTCTAGTTAATGAAATAAACAATTCCTTTTAGAATTCTACATACAGAACAATTCATGAATATGATGATATTTGCAGTATTACTTGTAATAAACCAAATCAAGAGAAAAAAGAAACAATCATGAATTTTACATATTACAAAAATTTCTAACTTTATTCAATTCAGTAAATATAAACTGTAGAAAGTCAACATAATGATTTGAAAATTGACAGTTCGTTATGAAGCTTGAAGATTTTTCGTTCGTTTGCTGGTAGATGAAACAGCTGATCGATATGTTTTCCACTTTTTGAAATAGTTATTTAAACAAAATCAGCCTGTAATGTGAAACTATAACTTAGACTTATTTTCGTCTATTTTATACAACGGAGATAAAACTGTACAGACAAACTGGTAGAAAGATATAGACAAGGTGGGATGCTGCTAACTTGTTGAAATAAATACTAAATACTCATTTTTTCACTATTTTTAAATATCTTGGTAATATTACCATTTGACTAAAGAAAATAAAACAGACAAGAGAGGGATAGGAATGAAATGTAATAGATGTTTCGCCTTGGCAACCAAGAAATTCCACTAACTGATAAGTGTATAATTAAAATCGTTTTGGTTCATACTTGTGACAATCTAAGTCACGTATTAGGTATTATCAATTAGAATAAACAATGAAAAGACGATAATAATGAATCAGAAAAGAAACGAAATCTCAATTTTTGAGTAGTTCAAGGAAAATAAAGATAAAAATTATTCAACTCACCAGTTGGCTTTAAAAATTTATTCACAAGTATTTCCACTTATATTTAGCTAAGTTAAATAAACAAAAAAACGAGATTTTTCGCAGAAGTTACTTAATTGAATAATTTCTATGCGCCAACGAATAAAAGACCTACATGTGTGAATTTCTAAAATTGTTAGTCGGAAGTTATGAACAGTGGACTTTAGCAATTGGTTAATCAAACAGTTTTAGTTGGAAAAAATTTGAAATTTTAATTCTAGATTATTGGATCACAACTAAATGGTTTACCGTATCGTGTCCACCCTGAGGCTTCAAGATGATGGAGTTTGATTTAAGATAAGGGATAAAATGTTTTTACCACTGAATGAAATAGCTGTTCAGAATTTTCCAGGTTTTCAATGATTCGCAATATATCAATGAGATGCCAACTATCTTCAAGTTATAAATTTCGTTAAAAATAAAACATAATCGTGTATTCCAAGAAAATACAATATTTTTGAGATTGTAAACGGTGACTTTTAATGTGGAGTTGCTTAACATCACGGTATGACTTGCGAACTTATAACCTGGCCAGAGACAGAATCTAGAACTCCTAAGTCGAGGATCACGTTAGACGTAAACTATTAATCAGCATTTAATGGACTACACTGTTAAACTTAGTCAATTTATAATAAAAATTTAGTATTCTTTAATAGTCAATAGTTTTTATGCTGACTTAAGTCCCTTATTAGAAACACACCTAGGATTCAACACAATTAGTCATGAATTTTTATTTGATTTTATAGGTTGTGCGACATTATTGGATTAAATTCAGGAGAGAAGCTCTGGTAAATAACAAATCTCAAAAACGTTTTGTAATCAACCAGTTTTAGGATGACAGTAATTTACTTGTAATAAGTGGTGGTATAAATATCTATTTACCATAAATAGGAAGTGAAACTTGGTTAGAGTCGTTTTTATATTGTAAGGAAAATGTATTAGATAAGGCTCTATTTTCAAACGTTTGGAACTTTATGTTCTATTCACAGTATACGATAAAAAGTAGACACAAGTTAACTAAAAAAATTGTAATATATGTCAGAACTATCTTATGTAATACAAACTGGGAGGTAAATGTTAGCGGCTCATAGAATAATACTATAGGTAACATCATTTATTTAAATTACTGTTTGGAATTGTAACTTTTTAAGTGAAAAATTTTCTGGAGATTTGATCATTTAACTTAATTACACTACGTGTGATATATAGAAAAAGATTTTACGAGAAGGATAATTTCTATGAATTTTAGAAGTAAAAGTATTTGATAATGTAAAACAACTCACCTTACAATAAAATATTTATCACATCAAACTTTTCATTATAGGCGAAAAAGATTAGAAGGGTTTCTTAATATGAAACAATACATTGTGGTGTGGTTTATTTGAAACCATATATATATTGATTCAAATGGAAAATGAAGTAGCTATTCAGCTCTAGTGAACAAACCTCATGTGATCAGCATTATGAAAACGAGCTGCCACCAATACTGGGAAAAATACATTAACAGTTAACCCCTGAAGATCATTTTTGGAATAGTGTGATGTAAAAAAGTCGAGCTGATAAAAGCCACAAAGTAAACTTTCTGTTATGCTAATCTGACTACTTAAATGCATTTGTAAGTAAACGTTAAACCTTTCTTGAAGCTCGGCTTCAGTTAGGATCATATTATGCCGAGGTATATTACACAACAACTTATCAATTTAGCTAGCATTTGTTCATATTTTTATACACGGACCAAGCCTCTAAAGTTAAAAATTACAATTTAACATAACTCATTTTGTGGTCCCAAAATACACACAAACATGTTTTAAATATAACATTAAATGTCTAAAATCAGTGATGTTTCACAATCGTAAAGTAGTCGGGGAATAAACTGAACTTTAAGTGTTTCATTAAGCGGTTAGGTTTCACATGAGGAGATGAATGTAACTAATGCATTTTCTCGAAGTAATTTTAGGAAATGAAAACTTCAATTCTTTAATTTCGCCAATTCACTTCATTCATTTACCACCTAGAAACGATAATATTTATTATTAAAAACACATGCGCACACCTTATGTCTCGTTATCACACATTCCTGGGTATATTCTACAGGAGTTAAACCAGTTTTCTGTTAGATAATGGAAACAATGTTGACATTTCAAAATAATCAATTAGCAAGCAACTGCGAATGTATTACGTTTTGCCGAAGTCACCAATATTAAAACGTTATTCGATAATTTTGTTGTTTGATTATATTTTTCTTGAAAAAGCTTGGACCAGATTGCCAGGCAAAACGTTGGATTTACTTCAAATTCTTTCGCTGAGATTTTACAAATACATTCTTCCTCTTTAATGACTCACATTAACTCAACGCCCAAATATTGTGAAACTATTCGTTCAAATTTAGACGAAAGTTCTTATTTGTTATTCTCGTACAGCTTAGATGTTTTCTGTTTTCAACATTTAACTGGATGACATCTTATTTCATAATTTTAGTTATAAATTGCTTTTATAAATACAATTTTCCCCATCGATAAATTTGAGTAAAACCAGAACAATCAACGTAGCAAAATAACATGAATTCATTAAATCTCATGATGTCTCATCAACAACTTACAACTAGACATAATAGTATGAATCATTAAAAATCAGTGTACATAGTTTATACTATAAATAGTGAAAGTGATCACAGCAGTGGAGGTTAATGAAAAAAGCCTTTTCGTACCTATTAATTTATTTTATTATTAAAATAAGAAAGGTTGGTTCAGCGAAGAGTTCTCTTTTCGGTGAATTCATTTTCACGGCTGTACAATCGCAAATATGTATACTTATTTTTCAGAATGATAACAATTACAATAATTACAGTAATAGTGATGATCAACTGTAAAACATGGTAACAGTGAGGTATAAAAAACAAAGGTATAAAAATTTTTTAGCCAGGGGCTTAAATATTCATCATGAAAATATATAAAGAAATTACAATTGGGAAAGGATGGCTCAGCATGATAAGATAAGATGTTGAAATTGAGATGAAATGTAGTCAGGAGGATCATAACGACAAAAATAAATCAGTTGGGGGTAGAAGGTCTATGTTTAACAGAATTTTATTATCACTATTATTGTAATTATTATCATCCTGAAAAAATATATATATGGTTGTACAACTGTGAAAATGAATTCACCGAAAAGAGAACTCCTTACTGAGCCAATCTTCTTTATTTTATGTTTCAATGAGTATATTCCATATGTTATTGTTGTAAATTTTAAGATCGATTTTTCATCTTTAGACATGTCTTTATGAACTTTTCATATTATTTAACATTAATAAATTCATATATCCATAAAAAGTTGTCATAAGTACTAAGTTCAACTTTCATTCAGATGAAAATCCACGCATAACACAAGATAGCGTGTAATATGCAACTTTTTCGAACTAATTGCATCAAGTATATCTAGTTGAAACGAATGCTTTTCGATAACGATATAGGTTACGGATCAATGTACTATGGTGGAAGATACGCGTATTAATTACAGCATTAGGAAAAGTATGATACCTAATTGAATGTTCAATACATGATCTACTACAATTAATGAATTTTATGGACGTTCAAAAGTAAAGAATGATAAATACTTTGGCATAAATAGAGTTATATATTTTTATCGTTATTTATTAGTCTAACTAAATGAACACGTTACTGTAGTGATAATAGATTGATTTGAAGACGGAAGAACTGATTAAATAACCGTAAAAAAAATAATAATAATGCGAATCGTTTGATTGTTGATCGAAGCAAGATAAGTATTTTCCATAAATAACCAAATGAACAACGTGTACAACTCTTTCATCATAATTCTCAATCTAACTTATCTTAAATACATGTATTATGTATTAATATCATCATACACTTCGCTCAACCTCAACGGTGTATAGTTAAGTTCAATCCTTAAATTATTTCCAGGGTAAATTCAGGATACAGAAGTAAACGACTTAGATGCCATAAGCATTTGGATTTTTAAATGAAAAAAAATGAAATTGAAAATGTTGATTAGTGTGAAATCATTTTTAAAGAAAAAGGAACACGTTTTTCCCGTAGAAAAAAGTCTACAAACCTTTGAATTTCATCATCTGTATTTTCATCTTCTGGATCGTTAGCAGTCACTGGAAATAATAATAAAAATCATGAACGATAATAATTAATGTGGGTGTAGATGGAAGGGATAATTTCAACAAGTATAACTTAGCAGACAATTACTAGTTTATAAACTCGATTTGAAGCCGTTTTTTATTCAGGTTAATAATATATCATCTGACTGCCGAAATCGAAGTAGTTGGAATGAATTTCGAGCTTCATATATAATGGTAGAAATTTAAATGATTTAAGCACCCTGTCACCATTCTCCACTTAGCCAGTTACAAACGACGTAGAACCTGGGGTGAATGGTCATCAGTTCAAGTTGCCATATTTACTATTAACATAATGAGACAAAACTAACAGGATAAAAATTAAAACAATCGAAATAATAAGAAAAACACTGAATAAGACAAATAAAACCAAAGAAAAAGATGCATGATGTAATATTGAAGATGAAGATTTAGTAGAAAAAAGAATGAGTAACTGGATTATTAAAGAAGTAGTTCAGAGATGAACAGGGTAATTATAATACTTAAAGGTATCAGTTAATTTCTGCTTGTAATGCTCGTAGCTTAATGGGAATATCGAGCACTCCGTATAGGACGAACATATGACAAAGAGAGACTGATCAGCTGCAGTCTATAAAATCAGTGGGAAGATTCAAGCAACTAATATAAATGAATTACACTTCAGCCCATCGCACAAGCCTGTGGCTCATTAGCTAAGTGAATAACGTGATTGCGCTTGAAGTGAATGGTACTGGGTTCGAGTCCCGGGGTGGACATCAACTCGGGTGTAGAAACATCCAGCTGACAAGTCCCTTGTTTGCTACTATCGATCTCTCTTGACATATTAACAAAATTGATATATTATGCGGAGTAATATAACTTTGTTAAAAAGGTGAATGTAAACGTTAGGGAAGTAAGGGTGAAGTGGTGAGTGTTGAGAATAAGAGAAGTTCGGAAAAAGGTGGCAGGAACGGCTGTAAAAAATTCGTTTGAACACAAAGATTGAGTTTATTAAGATGGATGCAGGAGGCTTCATGCATATAAAATAGACCAATATATAAACCATGTGGCAATCTAGATGAGACGGAACTTTTAATCACATTCAATTGTTCAGAACTCCAGTCGTGTATCGAAGTAATTGTCCATACAAGGGGGAATCGAACTGATGGTTGCCCATAGAGGAAGCAAGTTAAGGCAGTATATCATTATTTCTGGCTGTAAGGATGGGACGATTGTGGGATAATTTGTAGCTTAGATACAGGAACGTTATTTTGGAGCCTTTTCAAAAAAACTTATTATTTAACTGGGAATGCTGTTTATGAACTCGAGTTTCAAGAACAATGATCTTTTTGAAATGGTTATCGAGTTTAGCTTTGTATCAGCCTTGTTTATATGCTTATTCACAAATTTCATCAGATGTCCATTCATACTATGTCAAAGATAATGGTTGGGTCTTTTACTGTTTTATTCTTAACGAAACTACACTATCATTTCGTTTTTCATTTAGGATGAACGTAATTGATGAATGAATACTGTTAGGTTTTTTAAAGTATTCACAAATGTAAAGCAGAATGGTAATATATTTCATATAATTTATTCCTAAAAGATAACTAGTTATGTATGGAACGAACAATCCTTACTAGCTCAGTTGTACTTATTGGATAAATTATAAATAAACATTTAAACATAGCAAAAACGGGGTTCGCAGAATAAAATGAATTCATTGTATTTCACGACTTCTCATCAGCTGCAAACAACAATCGTGGATGTGCACTGCTGAGGAGTCCTGTACTAAGACGAAACGGCCGTCCAGTGCTTCCAGGTCTTGCATGGTGGTCTAGCTTCAACTGACTCATGATTTCAATCAGTGAAATTTAAAATTAGCATCAGAAGGGGTTTGTGGAGATTGTAGTAATTTCAATAGTTATATTTATATTAGTAATTGTAATTATTAACAAATGTTTAGCATACATTATTTTGTGAAGTTCAGATAAATGTTCAAAACGTAACCATAATTATAATAGTTAGAAGAATAGGAATACAAAGTGTATGAATAAACATAATCAAGATCGATGTGTATTTTTATGTTGGGAGTAATGATTAAGAGGTTATATAAGGGTAATGAAATTAATAAGTGTTTGTGTGATCACGCAACATGATAAAATAAACAAATATGTGAACATCAATTAGATTATGTTACAGATGAATATCAGAAGACGAAAGAACAATAAAATAATAGGAGGTTAGGGGTAAGGTTGAGAAAAAAATTAAGATCAAAAAAGGTTATTAGATAAATATACAATGACCATGATAGGGAAAGGCTAACCAAACTTTTCTTCTATATACATAGGTCAGGTCGAAAAACGTTTGATAGCGATCGCCTCTGAAAAACGGAGTGGGATTGATGTTTCTTTTCTATTGATTTTTTGAAAGAATTCATTTTATTCTGCAAACCATATTGTTCTTGATCTGTTGAAATTTATCAAGAGATCTGATCGTATGAATAAATAAACAGTTTGGAATTTGAAGACAGTAACCTTTATTGAATCAAAGCATCGGGACAGCTGTTTAATCAGTGAAGTAGTTGTACAAAAGACATTTTGGATACATAACTACATCAATTCTCTTTAAGCCTTATAAATCAAGCAATTTACTGACTTGAGTAATAAACAAATCATGAAACAAGAATTCACTTCGATTTGCCCTGGTGGGGAGAGTCAGCTTTTCCTCTCGAAATGCTCTCACATGACCACGCGTATACAGCCGCTGCCAGGGAAGTCCTACTCACTAACTAGTGTTGTTTACGAAATTGAGAGGACCAAAAGCGAATGTTTGGCGTGTAAACCAAGTTGGTGGATATGAAGGATCCACCTAGGAGAGTTGGAAAACTTTGATGCACACGGGTTTCAGGATCGTGAAGGAACAAATGGCGTGTGAACCAATTATTGGTCACGGGCTACAATGTGAATGCATCTCCTGACGTTGCTCCACTGCCTTATGGATTAGGACTTTAGGTCGACAGCTCCCGGTGTGGCCCCCTAAGAAAACCACCTGCTTTGATTTGGGCACCCGGGCAGTATCACAGCTAACACACAAATTAAGTAACTTGTGTGGCGCATACGTATTTGATGCCCCTTTGTACCAATATTTATGTGTTCAGATAAATAAGTAAATGTACGGAGTTTTATACTGAAGCATATTTATACTTCCGTCATGGTAAAATTTGATGTATTGAACATCGATCGATGATATCTAATAAGGCATGTAAATAAGCATCTACAAAGTCCTCTGCATACTCAAAATCGAATGTGATGTCAGTTTGACAGGTTCTTTCTTATCTTCGTTTATTAATCGTAAAACAAACTAAGACAATGAATAAAATCTATCTGCACTACATTTTTGTGTGACTGTTCTCTTTTCCGCATTTTTTTGTAATTGAATATAATCTCTTATTTATTCAATTAAGCGACCATTAACAGATCAGAAACGGTAAAGTTAGAGAAGCCAGTCTCAAGTAACCTGATAGAATTACTTATATCATTTTAGTCGTAAGTAATATTATGTAAAATGTTGACTAAGTAAAACGAAACACCTATTCGGAAGAATATGACTGATTGAATTACAACGTACTAATGTGCAACACTTCAATGATAATTCTCAGAGTGATTGGAAGAAACAGAAGAAAAATTCTATAAGGAATACATAGTTATGGATCGAATTGCACAACCGATTTTCAGTTTAGAGAAGAAAGTGAAAACAAATAATCAGACAATGACAGAAATAGAATAGAAATATGATTTTAAAGAAAGCTGAAAAATAAACAAAACAGGTCAAAAGAATCATTTCATTAATGTTGTTACAGAAGGATCCCACATCATTTTGTGGAAGAGGTAATATAAAACCTAAAAAAATACATCTTAATTGGCTGGAGATTGAGTGACTTACAAAATGATTACCTCTAACTGCTTATGACATTTCGTCATGTTTATTTTGCATATAAACATCTGTGGGGACGACCCCCAGTGAACTCAAGAAAGCTCAGAAAGAACCGAAGACATTTCATCTGATCATCTTTTGGAAGAACATTTCAGAATCTCGACGTGTAGCTCCCCGATTGGACAAATGCTAAAAACCACTGCATGCAGATTGGATGACTATAATGATGATTTCGTTTAAACTAAAAACTATAAATACCTGAGTGTTTTGTATCATATCTGATACTATTTGAAATAAGATTCCTTCCTACTTGTCTTTTGTCTTCTAACATCCAAATTGAAGGGTTCTAGCGTTCGAGTGCTTAAGTTGTATGCGGCATAGCGAAAATCCTAGTTTTAGATATAACAACATGTCACTTTATTACATAGGAAACCAACTTTTCTGACTAGTGGTTTTATATTTGATTTAAGATTAATCAGTAATTTCAGTCAATAAATCGCTATCGTGAACAGTATTCTTTTAATTAATTTTACGATTAAAGAATTGTTTATCAACCCACTGAATCATTAACATTCTCCTTCGTGACAATGACAATAGAGATAAAAATTGATTGTGAAAAATTTCAATTATTACAAGATGAGTGGATATCTGTATGTATCGAATTGATGTTATCAAAGATCGAACTTAACAAAATAATCATAGATAAGTCAAAATCTGAACATCATTCACAAACCATTATCGGAAAATTCAATGCCATTCAGAATAAAATATAACACAGATAGAAATCACAACTCATACAACAATACAGTGGTCGCAAACAGCCATATGACGAAGACAATGAATAGTCATGAAGCTACTGCCAATTCAGATTCAGTCATTGGAGCCAGAATTTACTGAAGGTTATTTGACTTCAAGTTCAGAACCTCCAATTGTAGTTACACAATATCAAGTCGAGTCAACAGCACATAAACTAGACCAATCCCAATAAACCATGGATCAAGCAGTCTCATTAGAGCCATTGATATCTTCAGTTGCAGAAATAAAACACACTTTAGGAGCTTGTATTGTTATAAACCAAATCGTGCGACAAGAGATGAATTTAAAGAAGAGAGAGTAGATGAAAGGAAATATCGTACATTTGATGCTATAAACTATTAGATGAAATCATTTTGCAGGTCATATACTCTCCAATCAATTAGGACTAATTCTTGGTTGTCGTATCAGTTAACAAGTATAGGGACAAGCAGAAAAATAACCAGTAGCCATTCTAAGTGTTTGGAGTAAAATTAGTACGATTTAAGGAAAATCGTGGTATCGAAGTTAGTTCTTTCTTTAAATTCCTACCGTAGTACCAGGACAGTTGTACATTTAAACAAAACTTGACAGTAAACTGGTTTCCCAAAGTTATGTTTTGACAATATGAGATTTTCCCAGAATTCAAAATTGGTCTGGATAAAATCGTGCATATGTTTATGAAATAATTATATAAACCCATAATGCATAACCAATACATATAGTGGTTAATTCAACTATATTCTTGTATATACAGTAAGTTTCTACACTGTCGACATTATCTAAGACGAAGGTAATTATTTCAGAACGTATGATTCACGCTATAATCAAAAGCCAAATACAATAGAGTATATGTATAGTATTTGATTGTACAAAATTCATAACAGGAGTTTGATGATATAGTGCGTATGTTGAAACTTATCGAAAAAGTATTCATTAACTCTTGATAATCAATAGAGTATCATTTTTTACAAAATGGCAAAAATCTCTTGTAAGTTTAATTACCAGTTTTTTTGGCATTAGAACCATCGTTAGTAGTGGAGCGGGGTCGTTTTTGTAGGTTCTTACTGTTAGTTTTTGATTTACGCTTTCTTCTTCGATTCGATTCATCAGATAAGTCCTCATCACTTCCCTCTTCTTCTCCATTATCTTCGTCTTCGTCAGTCTCCTGGAATTCGTCATCGTCGTCATCATTATCTGCTTCTTCATCAGAAGAACCTGGTTGCCAGTCGTCATCATCTGATTTTTTCTTTCCTCCTGAAAACAGAAATACTTATTAAACTAGAATTTGAAAATCGAGAAGTGAAGTTCTAGAGCAACTCACGTTTTTTTAAAAACATTTATCACCGATTATTGAATGTTAAAAAACGCTTGTATTTGAGGTTGATTTACAAAAATGCCTAAAGAGGTTTGTTGAGTATTAAAACCACTAGTGTCAAGTAAAGCACTGTCTCATTCGGGAATAAGAACTTCAGGAAGGATTTAACTGAACATAAGATGCTTAATAAATCGAATCCATAAATTTTTAGGTAGATTGTTATTGAAGAGAAGATGATAGATGCTTTCCGTTTGTGAACTAATCTAAGCTGGATGTATGGTGCTGTTACTTATGTTACAGACAATAGAAACTACATTTAGTGAATCGAATAATAATAACCGAATTCATTTTTACTTCACCTCCAACTCGATTGTTTTCATAAAACTTCGCTTGGAAGTCTACGCATTAAGTGCTATGCGATTCTCCATATATGGGATGAGTGGATGTTTTCAAATGTACATACTTTAGTTAAATATCACATCATATTAAAATTTGGAACAATGCCTCCAATTTAAATGTCAAATATAATATTATTTTATATAATGAGAATACACATTTGTACGATTTCTATAAAATAATGTGTAGATGATATCCATACAAATTTGACATAAGCAAACTTGATTGAGATCACACAAAAAAATTTAGACAACCATTGAAAACCTGGAGGGACTGAACGATCGTCCCGGTTTCGTATGAGACCCCTTGGCAGTGCACATCAAACAGCCCCGAAATCAGGAATCGAACACAATATCTAGTGAGCAAACGCATAAACCCTAGACCACAGAGCCAAGATACAATGGTCTATAATATAACCCCCTGATGATAATCGGAGACGGTCGAGGAATGTCGTGGATTGACTGAAGTTAGACTTGTACACAATTTAACCTCGGATCAATATTTTAAATGTTATGGATTCGCGCTAGACCGCAAGTTCTAGATTCGACCCGTGGTTGCGAGGCTGTGGATCTGCATTGTAGAGGATTTCCATACTAAGACGAATTTTCTGTTCCAGGTTTTCAATGGTTGTTTAACTTAGATAGGTTCATGATCTTAATAAAATTCGGCAAATCTCCACAACCGAGTACTGATATACAAATTTGTTTCAGATAGTGTAGTTATGCTAAATGATCATGAATTTCTAAAACGATAGTACAGACAACGAGGGTTTTATTATTTTTAGAGTGTATGTTCGAAGAAAATACTACCTTAAGAGATACTTTTAACGTGTTAATTGTTCTTTTTTATTTTGTTGGTTGATATCCTTATAAATTAAAGACTATTAGATACACATTTTAACAACACTTTGAACTCATTGGGAATATTCTTATCTAAAAAATCAAGGGGTATGATCAAAATCTAAATTTTTTCTAAAATACTAGCTTATAATACAATGAATTATATCGTTGGCAATAATTCAGTTCATTGAGATACAATATGAACTCATTCTTGGACGATTGATGTCTATTTATATTATCAGATAGATAGACGAAATAGACAAATCATGACTTTTAGTTAAAACTTTTAAACATGTAAATATCAAGAAAAGACGTAACTAGGATGTAAGTGATGTTGGATATGTCAGTTGTAATGAATTAGTACATTTTGATTAATACTTTACAGCAAACTAAATAACTCAGATTTGAAGTCAGGTTTATGATTTGAAAGGAGAATTAAATAATTTATATGCAAAGTAGATCAATTGCTGTGAATATCTAACGGAGGTTAGTACCAGTATGATTAGAAGCAATAGAATAATTTAAGTATAAAGAAAGTATCTACTTACAAGTATTTAGAGTAGTTATTATTTTTAGGTGTCATTAAAATTTAAAATAAATTTCGCAATTTTAAAGATTTCTTACCTGATTACATAATTCAATTAGTCGACTATCAACTATTAATTTACTCTACATAAAGTGTAAGTAACGTTTGGTGTGATGTCTTGATACATAAAATACTAAGTAGTTTAGTAAGCAGTGAGTAACAAATTAAAAAGATGATGGTTTATGGAAATTTCTCATTTTAGAGAAAGGAAATATTACACCGTTATGTATACATTGACTCTAAGTTAACAGGTAACGAATGTGAACACTGATCAACCAAGCAGGAGAAGTATTATGAACGCTTAGCAAATAAAGATTGGTTGAAGGTAGACATTAACATTCGATGCCGGCTCAGTGGTCCAGAAGTTGAAGGTTCTGGGTTCGAATCCCGTGTGCAGGACCGTGGATGTGCACTGCTGATGAGTCTCATTCTAGGACGAAACTGCCACCTAGTGCTTCCAGGTTTTCAATGGTGGTCTAACATTGATCGATTCATGATCTCAATTACGATAAAGAGATGTCGGATAACCGATCAAGTGTACTTCAATGCAGCTATTGAGTTGCATACATGAATGTGTGCAAATATTTGCTAATAAACTTTTGTGAAAATTTCAAACATCACAAAACAATATACGACAACTTACGTAGTCTAAGATTAGTTTTATGAACTGATGATCTGTGATAAAAATTAGGAAATGGATAGAAAAGAGAAAATGCATCAAAAATATGTGTACAAAACATGATTAGTTTTAAAACAACATCTAACTGCGCATTTTTGCAAATGTAATACAACCCATTTGTTGATGATTGGAGAAAACAATATAACCAGATAAAATTGTCGATGAAATTACTAAGTGGCTGAAAGTAAACGAGAAGAAGCTTTTAATTTATATCTCATTTTATTTGGCGTTTGTTAATAATTTCAAGGAAAATAATGCTACCCGAGGGAAATGTCACTATCTACTCATTTGGATAATTTGAGGCGCATGCTACTTATGTCTGTTGACATAAGTAGTATGTAACACCAATTGGAAGTAGAAAACTGGGCATCAGAAGGCTATGAAGGATGAATTGAAGGGGGCAACAACGGATTTAGAAAGGAATTGTGAGTCGGAAGGATCATACAGAATGTGAGAGAAAATAATGGAAATTCGCAAATGAAGTATTAAGTACATGGTTCTTATATTTTACCATGATAATGTGTAATTTATTATTAAGATGTATTGGTTGTCCCCCAAACTGAGTTCTCGTTCATTACAGGTTTCCTTTGCCCGTATTTGTGAAATATCTTTGGAAATAACTGGGAAACTACGTTTTCATTGTCGTCCAGCTTGAAAATCATGGCAAATAATCTACCTAAGGTGCTTGTAAGGTATGGTCGATAAACAAACCTACCAATGACAACATTAAATACCCACCACAATATTGACTTTTTCGACCTTGTATGACTATGCCTAGTTTATTCACTAATCATAATCTTTTATTTAATAGTTGAATTAATGAGTCAATTGAAGCTAGACCACCATAGAAAACCTGGAAGCACTGGACGGCCGTTTCGTCCTAGTATGACGCATGAATTCAACTAATAAATTAATATAATATCCATAATCCCCCTCTCTGATTATAATCTTTTATGTTTATCATAAATGATATTACACTTTTTGACTCATTTTTCCTATCCTCTAGTTATTGTACAGTATATCATATGTGTCGCTCTTTTTACCTGTTTAATAGACTGTTTTTTTTAATATACCAACGGTGTCAGTTCACGTTTTAGAAACAGAGAAGGTTTATTAAGCCAAATAACTTACTTGTTCTGACTGGATAAATTAGGACTCTGCTTGACAGTCTGGAGATTAGTATAGAATCGCGTCTGTAGGAAATCACTTTCTATAGTACTGAAAAACCTATTTCAACGATCACACACACATTCTGTTTCTTGAAATTTGATTACTGAGAAATAAAGTGGGTGGAAAGAGGAAGAAAGCTAATGCAAGTAAGTGGAATCATACGACTTTGTGTGCTGGTATATGATGGTCAATAGTAATAATCAGCAGTGCGATTTAGAATCTCTGGATCATATCCAATTTCAGTTATTTGTTGTTATACACCAAGTACAGACACGTAAACGCGGCTATGAGACATACTTTATGTCTTCCGGATAGTGACACTATTCAGCTGCTCAAACCAAATTAGGTGAACCGGGACTTGAGCCTGTGACCTGATGGTTGGAAGTGGAATACCTCAGACGCTCAGCCACTGCTCCACTTCAATCATGGAAACGTAATGAATTATAGTCAGTATAAACGATATTTCAAATCCACTTCAAAGGAAAATATTGAATCGCATACGCATAAACTTACTTGGATTTCGGAGACTGACCATCGTCATCATCATCATCATCATTTAAAGACTGATTTAATGTAGAAGATAGAGTTGCAGTATTTGGTGGACTAGGTGCACGTCCAACTCTATAGCTACGCCAAGGTACATTACTTTTAGTTTCGTAGCATTGTGTAATCCATTTATCGGAAACAATTATACCTTTACCTTTAACTAGATTGAATTTAGGTGTGTTTGGAAATGCACAGCTATAAAGATATGAAGTGAGGTTAAAGAGAGAAAAGAGATAAATGAAATCAGTAAAAGAACAGCATATCTTTCAACTACAATCATTTTAATACAGATAAACAAAATCAATCATATAATCATTATTGTCAGAGAATAATTATATCACTTTAGATGGTATTAGTTTCTTTGAGATGGATGATTTAATTGTGAAGCTTTTATTACCGTTTTTAACGAAATCACACAAACCCCTATTTCAAGATGAGACCATTCTGATTTATCTACAAGTACTAAAACAGACTATTTCCTCATCTTCATGCATCTCTCAGTTTCTGATTACTGTATTTTTTAGTTGATCTATGACCGAATAATTGACTGATCTCCTCCGAATGGGTTAGTAACAATTACCTATCGAATCTGTATTCATGGATTTCTACGCAAGTGAAATAAGTGATGGGATACCGCGTCGTTTGGTTGCTAATATATGTTCGTATATGCATACATGAAAGGGTCATTCACCTCGTCTAATTCAATGTTTCTCACATTTGCTAAAACATGTTTTATAAATGATATTGTATTTATCTTTCATTAGCGTTATGTTTCCTGACTTATATAAAACAGAATCAAGTGACAATGTTCGCTTGTGAGTAACAGACTTTGAAGTTCCGAGATTCTGAATTACAGAAATTTCAAGAATGTCAAGGAATGTCTAGAAGCATACCTCTCACGTTAATTTGGATTCAAAAACACACCAATACAAATCCAATTAATCGATTCACCTATATGAACAAGATGTTCCTTCTTACACAAAAATATATTAGTAGATCAATTCGTACACAAACTTTTTGGATCTACAAGGAAGTATGAGTCACCTGAATTTGGATAAGTTCGGAAATTAGTAAATTTAACTAGCCCCATAAAATTATAGATTTGAAAGTTGATAAATTTAGTGAAATATTAACCCACAAAACGATATAGAAAACTTTTTACACTATAGAAAGTAGGAGAATATCAGTGAAACTACAGTCAGGTATACCATTTTTAATCTGATAGCTGATAAGTGCGAAATATCTCTTTTTGGAATAGTGGTCGAATATACAAAAACGTCTGATGATTATCACTAAGTCTTATTCTTAATCTTCAAAAGCTTCTATCCTAAATCATTCTATATGGTTTTTGGACAGACTACTGGAAAGTTTATATTCAAATACGTTAGTTTGGCGACGTAAGTGGCTAAACAATTATCAGTTAAGGAAATTTAACTGATTTATATTACAGAAAATTTCTGCTTTTGTGTGAGAATTTATATTGTAATTCAGCAGAAAATTTGAAACAAATTTAACAAGGATATCTGCATAAATTTATTGAAGTACAAATGCTTGAACAATGAAGAACACATGTTTGACTTACATCAAATGTGTACAATCTGGACCCCAATCTTGTCTGTACTTGGCACCAAGTTCCAGGGCTTTGTCTCTGATTTGACTTCTTAAAGGATTTTGATAACCACTCAAAGTCAGAATAACATTTGATAAAGGTTTTTGGGTTGAATGGGATGTTTTTGATTGTTTGTATTCTTCTTTGTTCTTTGATATGCGAGAAGACTGTGAAGAACGTATTATGCCTGTGTTGGTGGGAGAAGGTCTTGAGTGAGACTGGTGAGAACTGGTACTGGCTTTAGAGGAACTATGATGATCGTCTGGTCGACTCACAAGTAATGAACTTGACGTATTCGCTACAGAAATAATTAAAAAACTAGCATTTAATTTATAGATGGATAAGGGTGTTTTGGACAAACATTGATCGTAGTTAAAACAGGAATATGACCTAGTGTAGCAAACTTCTGGCTAATCAGTTATTCATAAACTAAGTAAGGAAGGTACACCTAGGGTAGTTCGACAACCCTGATTTCGAGCCATTGGTGTATACAGATTTGGGGATCCTGAAAGAACAAATAGCGTGTGAATTCATTCGCGGTCATCATCACCACTGAAGCAGGTGGTTTTCTTAGGAAGCCACACCGAGCCTTTGACCTAAAGGTCTAATCCAAAGGGTAGTGAAACAACGTTATAAGATGTAATCTCATGGTAGCCGGTGACCAACTACAGGTTGATACACCATTCGTTTCCTTAGGATCCTGAAACCCATATGCGCCGTTGGTTTGGAATCAGGGTTTTCCAACATCCTAGGTGGACTCTCCGTACCCATCAACCCCGTTAGAGCACCAGACATTCGCTTTCGGTCCTCTAAGTTTCGTAAACAACACCCCCGCCGCGAGAATGTAGTGAGTAGGACTTCCCTGGCAGTGGTTGTATGCACATGCTCATGTAAATGCATTTCGAAAAGGAGAGCTGACTCTACCCACTGTCGGCCGTGCCAGGGGCATTTGGGGGCAAACATGGGATCTCATCTTCTGGTGTTATTCCACTGCTTTGTGAACTAAACCCCTGGGTCAAAGGCTCGAGGAATGGTCCCCTAATAAAACCACCTGCCTCGGCTTGGGGACCCGGGGAGTACCCCAGCCCCCCCACACACACACACACAATGATTTGTGTAAAACAAAGATATATTTTAGTGCCCCTTTGTGCCAACGTTTGCGCGTTTAGATAAATAAATAAGACAAAATAAGTGTGCTTAAAATTCGAGGGATTATATATATATATATATATATATATATATATATATATATATATATATATATATATATATATATATATATATAGAGAGAGAGAGAGAGAGAGAGAGAGCGACCAATCACTAGTCATGTTACTTACGTCCTCCAAACATAGATAACATAGTCATCATCGATGAAATTTCATCAAACAGCAAGTCTGTGATAAACTCTATATTAAAATGTTTCAATCATATCAAACAGGTTAAACCTAATCTCATTTACTGTAAATGAGCAAGATTGTCTGATAGTCAAACCTCAATGTCACTGAGATGCGCCCTCAGCACAATGAAACCGGTATCATCCAGTTAGTAGCAAAGAAAACGGCAAGTCATCGTGAAATAAAAAGTGCAAATAAACAAATATGCACAGCTGTGCGAATTATATTGGTTTGTATATATTATCTGAGAGCTACCAACAATTTTATGTCAATGTAGGAACATGAAGAGTGATATCGGAGGAAATAGAAAAAAACTTACCGTTCTGAATTAAATTAGATGAATGTTTCAAAGCATTTAATTTATCTGAAACTACAAACATAATTTCTATATGTATCCTTACTTGAGGACTTGGGCTGTGAATTGTCTTTATCACAAGATGTCTGGCGTGAAGCCTGAAAGAGTGAACCTGGTTTGAATTGAGTTGAGTCTGATTCGTCGTCATTCAGTAAGCTATCTACTTTAATGTTTTTATCCTATGATGTGAATGTTGGCATAAAAATGACGCTTACGTCGGCTGCTGGATTCGCATTAGCTGGAGTATGAAAGAAAACGAAAGAAATGCCATATTGTAAAGTTTTGTTAAACGGTTGCGAGCAAACAAATTTGACTAGATCCCATTTCTGGCAAGCTATAGATTTTATAAACTGATCACCACTAAATACCCGGACACGGTTAAGGTTCGTTTCGTTTTTTGCATCTACTGGAGACATAAAAGAAGAGGATGGCAGGAGTACCTAGAACTGGTCTGAACAACCAACTAAGATGTTACCGATGAGTCATCCGATGAAGCAGATCTTCGCACCAGCACTTCGATAAAGGCAGAACCATTATTCCCAATATCTAAACGTGAAATTTCAATAGGTTCGGAAAACTATGAAGCTTTAAGATGATATGAGAAAAGCAGTTTACACTCAATTCTACAGCTTCTTGCCTGCTTCCACCACTTACACAACACCATTTTGAGAATGACGACCCTTTTAAAAGGTTGGATGCAGGAAAAGCCTGGAAAAGAGAAATACGAATGTTAAATGTTGCATTTTTTAGGGAAATCATATAAGGTCTTGAAAGAGTATGAACGTTATGATTTCAGCCTAGATTAGGTTACAAGAGGCTTGTAAATAGTTCATGAGAAGAAAATTAAGTGAAATAAAGACGAGTGAAACAGAAATCTAGAAAGAAATAGACAGACTATAAAGCAATCTTTTCGAATTGCTTCTAAATAGTAACTTCTATTATTCAGTAAGAAATTTTAGTTACGACTGCTTAATGAAGTAAAGTTTGGAAATATGTTAATTCTGAAATTAGGGATGTTTAGTTTCCCTTACATGATGGTAAGTTGCCTGAATCATGAACGTGAAATACTACTTACAAGATATTACGCCAAACGATGACAACAGCTGGGTATTGTTGTTCGGCCTGAAACGTGTTTTCCAAAGTCATTCAGCTACAACATAGGACCAGGCACATATGTGCATCGGTCCAAGTTGCCATACTTCATTAGCACGACAAGACGAACACCGGATTCATAGAAGTAGTTAATTCTGTGATGGTTAAATATAAAAGAAAGATTGCAATAAGGATATAGTACAGGAAGAAAGAATTAGTTCGTAGGAAGAAAGATATGAAGCAATTTTAATCTCTTAGTTTAAGGGAAGACAAAGAGTGTATAAACCGATGCCAGTGTGATCGGTCCTGAGCCATGTCACCAAGGGTCTCCGACCATTTGGTTACGATAGTCACGCGGACCCCAACCAAGTAGTCTGCATCTACCAACATGGCTCAGACTAGAAGTTAGTGACTTCAAGCACTGATGCCACGTTTTGCTTTGGCCGCCCCTAACTTTCTTCCAACCATCCTCAACACCAGTTAGCATTGCGCGTCGTGGTAATAGGTGCTCAGGCACATGCAACACGTGGCCCAATAATCTCAGTCGATGAAGATTCACAACCTCATCAACTGACTTACCATCATTCTCTGATACCCTACATTTAACCTATTACTTACCCGGTGATCCCAGAAGATGCGAGTAATATTTCTAAGGCATATGTGGTCAAATACTAGTTGCTTACGAATATCTTATACTCTTAGTGGCCACGTTTCGCAGCCGTAAAGTAAAACAGAACGAACTACCGCACAGTTTACTTTTCCCCTTAATTGATAGACGGATATCTCGCCTTCGCCATAGGTGGCGTTAGTTGGTAAAGGGCAAACGCGCTTTTAGAATCCGTACTGAGATTTCGTCGGACACCAACCCGTTAGGGCTTACTAGACCTAAAGAGCGGTAAGACTAAGAGCACCGAACCCAAGGTTTGAGGGCGAAATCGTACTGCTGATTATACAAAGGTGTAGCAGCAGTAAGGTGTTTCTTCAGACAACCAGCATGACAGCGATGCTACCTTCCCACAAGGAGGGGTAGGTTAGAAAAGGTCGACCCTAAAAATGCACACCTCGCCTTATCCCATGGATATCTGCCTGCAGCGGTAAGGTCTCGAGAAGTACGAGCTAACACGAAAATTACTCGCGAAAAGGTCGTGTGTGACCGACCTCAAGCAGTTGTCCCTTGGGCACTGTGGTCACGCTCTCAGGCCTCTAAGACCACCTGTAATCCAATTTCATTTTCAGGTACCTTCAGAATCCTTCCACGGTGTGGGCAACCGGGAAGTGATAACCGCCCTCATACCTCCAACAGCACTCAAGACCATTGTACGTTTTCCAGAGGCGAATACATAAATGTATGCTTAGTAAATAAGTCACATTACCTTTTATAGTTATGAGTATCGAAATCATCCTTTGCGCTAGCCGTCCTGAAACACGAACGAGGCAGTAGTTGATATCTAACACGAATTTGGATAATTCAATCAACGAAAACAACTTAATCCCTGAAAAAAATTACATGCCACACATTTCCACCACACACAAGAACTTTTATGGTCAAATGATTGCAATTTTCGGCTGTTTATGAAATTAGAAATCATATTTTACAGAAATGATTAAAATCAAATAGTTGAGTAGTGGACCCACTTTTTGATAAGCAACAGAACATTACGAAAAACGCACTTATCAAAGACATGAAGCCTGTGCTAATGTAGTAATTGTTCCATTGCTACATACGTTCATGTGAATGTATTTCTTTAATTATTGTTGATGGAATTACTTTAAACCATTTCCTTATTTTTTATATACTGTTTAGCCAACGAATGAGCAGTAAGTAATTATCGACGCATCAAGCAGGAGGAAGGTTCTGATTGCAGATAAATAGTGGATTGTGGGCAAAGAACTTTGTCTTTATCCTATGAACCTTGTGGATATGCATCCGCAGAACAATGCCCAACCAGATGACAATTGGTCAGTCCTGAAGTGCAAGGTCACTTACTACTGCGGTAAGTTACGAACGTAGAAACCGTAATTTCCCATAAATAGTTTCTAGCCATTTCACACTTGAGTGCGAACATTAGGCAGCTAATATCGAAGTCTCATGGGGCGTGAACATCCACAGAAATTTGTTATCGGAATACCAAGTTTGTAGTTTCATTTGTCATTTGAAGAGGAACTAATAACATTAGGCGCATGTCTTCAGCGAAAAGACACTACGGACGAATTTGTAAGTCAACAAAATTCGCTGGATTACTTGTTTCTATTCCAGAAAGCCATCCTGACGTGGTTAATGGATGATAATCCTAAGACGTCCATGCGCTATATTATGTCATACGTCATGACATCTGTAGTTACCAGCCATTCCACTGTATTAGGCACTCCATCGGAAAGGACACTTCAGAATTGCAGGTTTTACGGCTGCATACGAAGAAAAAAATTCCTAATATTTAGGAGCATTAACATCTCGATTCTTGTCCCCATCCGTCGACGGAAAACAAAATGCCGAAGCTTATGACATCGTGAAGTAAAGGTATTTTCACGACATGAGACAAAATACAAAAGCGTCATCGGAGAAAACAAGAACACGTATGTACCAATATGTTATAACTATTAACTGCTGTTCTATAGGTGCTGAGAATTCTATGTTGTACCAAAATATAATATTGAATAAAGCCATTAGTAATAACAGTATTCAATATTAAGGAAAATAACCGTACGTACTACTTCAAGTTCATTTGTTTAACAAACTATGACATTCGGATGTTTTACTGTTTTGTGTTCATTAAAGTTTAGAATTTGCATGAACATTGGTTCGGAGTAGTTACACTACAGTTTAGCAAGGGCGTTACTATTGAAATATCTTATATGTTTAACTTAATTGTTAATAAAACTTATTCCTACTACGCACTGAATTCTTGACTTGCATGTGAAAACTTTTAAGTGTATGTTCTAGAAGTTTGTTTAGTTTTATATGCCTCAAAATATGACTGGGGTCACCTTGCTAAAGGTGTATAGACTAGGGAGTCTAACGGACTCGAAACCAAATCATTCCAGACTGCTTAAAGTAGTATTCGGCTCTTCAAACGAACGTGACCTAATTTTACAAAATGGACACAAATTAAAGGGTTCAGGAGTCTTTATCCGAAAGGACCTACCGTTGGCAGACCGTGTTAAAAGACGGGAAGCCGAGAAAGAACTACAACATAGGTTAGACGCTGGCGAAAAGGACCTGAAAATTGTAAATTTTCGGGTTGTAAGACTTCGACAGAGAATGATGCCGAAGCCACTCTGGGTGAAGCACGAAGGCACCTAAACAGGCTTCGGATCTGTTACACCAATGCACGAAGCTTACTTAATAAGCGATCGGAACTAGGTGTACAGATTGACTCTATAAAGCCAGATATAATCGCAATAACAGAAACCTGGCTGACACAGGCTATAGATAGTATAGAACTTGATTTCGAGGGCTTTACGTTAGTAAGGGCCGACAGAACACAAAAGCGCAAAGGAGGGGGAGTAGCTCTATTCATTAGGAATGCTATCCCATTTACCATTATCGATAGTGTATCCCATGAGAGTGGGACATGCGAATTAGTTAGTCTTCGCTTAAAATGCAAGGGACAAGAGCTGCTGATTGGTTTGGTCTATCGCAGTCCAAGCTGTGAGGCAAATGAGATCCTGTTAAGCAGTCTCAATACTTGGTCCCAAAGTGGTCGATGTCTAATCCTAGGGGACTTTAATGCACCAATGGTAGACTGGGAAAATCTGCGAACTGAATCGTCAGAAAATTCCTTTGAGCAGGAACTAGTTGATGCGGTTATCACATGTGCCCTAGTGCAACATGTGAAAGAAGCGACTAGGTACGACCCGGACACTGAATCATCCTTATTAGATCTTATACTGACTCACTATGAGGATGATGTTGCGAACCTCCACAATATGCCACCCTTAGGTAAAAGTGACCACGCAGTTTTAACTTTCGACTTCCATATAACTGCCAGTCATGAGGACGCGTCAGTCCAGTCCAGACCCAATGTCTGGAAAGCAAACATACCAGACATCATGCACTCAGCATCGTTAATAGATTGGACAATAGACCCAGAGTCCTCCATTGAAACGGCCTGGGACACATTTCGAAAATCATACTTAAAAGTTACCACACCTCACATCCCTTGGACTATACCAAAGGGGCCGAAAAACTCACCACCATGGTTCAGTAGGGAGGTCCGTATCCTTCTCCGTAAGAAAAGGAAAACGTGGGATAGATTTAGGTTACTGGGGACTGATGAGTCAAAATCTCAGTATCGAAAGGCTCGGAACACTTGTGCCTCGACCCTCCGTAAGTCTAGAAAATTGTACGAAGAAAAACTTGTTAAGGAATCCATAGAATGTCCTAAACGCTTGTATTTCTATATAAACCAAAGGACAAGGAGAAAAGGAAATATTCCTGCTCTGTGGGGAGACAGTACTGCTTCATCATTAGTGGAGGACGACTTTGGTAAGGCTCAAGCGTTCTCGAACTACTTTAGCAACGTATATACCATAGAAGCGCCCTTCTCGTCAGCGTATACAGATCCCCCATACATACACTGGATAGCGTGACCATTAAAGAACTCGATGTCTTTGGTCTGCTAAATAAGCTTGACGTAGGTAAATCCACGGGGCCCGATGAATTACATCCTAGGCTACTGAAGGAATTATCTAACTTCGTTGCGAACCCTTTAAGTACATGCTTTAACCTATCCGTTACGCAGGGTCGCTTACCGAAAGATTGGAAAAACGCCATAGTAAGTCCTGTCTTCAAAACAGGCACGAAACACAAACCTGAGAACTACCGCCCCGTTAGCCTAACTAGTGTGGTTGTTAAAATATTAGAAAAGATTATTCGTAAGGAGCTGTTTAAGTATCTCGATAAAAACCGGATCCTCTCGGAGAAGCAGCATGGCTTCAGAATAGGTTATTCTTGTCTCACTAACTTATTAGTGGCACGTGAAAGCTGGTGTGCTCTTAAGGACCAAAAGCTACCTGTAGACGTCGCCTTCATTGATTTCAGTAAAGCTTTTGATAAAGTTCCGCACAACCGGCTGTTATATAAGTTAAGACATGTCGGGATTGGAGGTAATTTATTGATGTGGATAAAAGAATTCTTAGTTGGGCGTCAACAAAGAGTAAGGGTGAACTCAAAGTTATCTAGCTGGGAAACTGTGCTTAGTGGAGTGCCCCAGGGTACAGTTTTGGGGCCAGTGCTATTTCTCTTGTAATTAAATGACCTTCCTTGTCTCCTATCATCATCGGTCTTGCTATATGCTGACGATGTCAAGATATGGAGAACGATACGATGTAAGAGTGATAGCTTAGAACTTCAAAATGACCTGAAGAAGTTATCTGAATGGTCTCAAACATGGCAGTTGCCGATAAATACTTCCAAGTGTGTTGTGATGCATATCGGTCATCAAGGCACAGATACATACACGATGAATAACGCTGAGCTACCTGTCGTCCAGACATATAATGACTTAGGAGTTATCGTTAGTCAAGACTTAAAGACTACTGCACACTGCCGTGCAATAGCCGCCAAAAGTTTTAGAACGTTATGGTCAATACGTAGGGCTTTTAGTCATGTCGACGCTAAAACGTTTTTGACTTTGTATACAGTGTTCGTTCGTCCTAAACTTGAGTACTGAATACAAGCGGCTAGCCCCTGCTTTAAAAAAGACAGAGAGCTTCTGGAAAAGGTTCAGAGAATGGCGACTAAGCTGGTTCCCGCAATAGCGAAGCTTCCGTATGAATCTCGACTGGCCAAGCTGAACCTTTTCCCGTTGTCATATCGCAGAACTAGAGGCGACTTGATTACAGTCTACAAATTGCTTAGTGATAAATTTGCACCTAACATGCCCTCATTTTTCTTGTCTTCGAAAACAGAGAATTTACGAGGACACTCCAAAAAAGTTCATAAGCCGAGAACAAATTACTTGTCAGCTGACTATCGACTTTCCCATCGAATCATCAACGAGTGGAATTCACTACCTCAGCACGTGGTTGAGGCTCCATCCGTCGACTCTTTCAAAAGAAGGTTGGATCAACTGAGAGACCACCATTGCCAGGACTAACATAGGCCATCGAGCCTCCTGTCTTTCCCAAACTGAAACTGAAACTGAAACTTGTCATTTATGACATGTAATTTCTTTTATCTCCGTAAATTACAACAGAACTTGACACTTACTATGAAAATACATAACCACGGTTGCTCAAGCATTCGACTATGGTTAATATTTTTGTATAGTATGATGTTTTTCCAATAAGTGTCTATAAACATGTATCATTTTTTAATGCAGTCAATTGCGGTCGTCATGTGGTATGTTATGGCAATAAAGGTGAACATACGAGACATTCGAAATTGAACAAAAGGTGGCGAATAAAGTGTGTAATTAGACGTACATTAAAAATTAGGAGATTATTCAAGCTGAAATTAGACAAGCTAGCGTGTATTTAGGCAGAAAGTAGACAATAAAGCGACATGTGAAACAAATAGAGAAAAATGGGTAATCATGTATTCTTTTCCTTCGACGAGCGAAAAAGCAAATACTTTGGCACGTTCCGCCATTGATTTCCCGTCGTTCACCTATATTTCTCCCTTATTAGTTATTTGATCAAACAACTACATCCTCGAGAATGTAGAAAACGCTTACCGAATGGTAAAGTTCAAGTTTAACCGAAGAAAAAATTATGAAAACTAAGTTGTGTATTTAGGGTAAGGTCAACTTGCTTTATCTTCACTCGTAAAGCTAACAACTCTACTTGGAACGACCTCAGGCATCACGCAACGTGAAATCTCAAATTAGATCCATTATTCTTCATTCTTCAATAATTGTGTGTACTCCAATGGTTTAAATGGTTATGAAGAGAATAGTAGAAGCTTCTGCTTAATAGGCTTCCATATCTAGTAGTATTAGATCACCGATGCCTTCAGGTAAGGACATAAGTATATTAACGATAAAGAAGGAAAAATAATTTGGTAGTATCATAATGAGATACTTATTCCTTAAGAATATGACAAGTTTTCTGTTAAAAGACTCTGACGAAGTCACTTGGACTAGTTCGTCTGGCAGAGAATTGCAACATTTGACCGCTCTTAAGGAGTAGAAGATCTTTTCACAGTCCGTTCTGTTATGTTGACTCCAGTTTGCGGGTGTTACCCTCAAGGTTTGTATTTGGATCAAGCCTAAATAGGCATTTTATAGCAACTCAAATGCAATTGACTTTGTTCACATTTAATTCGGTTAAATCACTTCGTCAAATTATTTAACGAACTGAGTCATCCGTACAAGTACAACCTATCTGTATAATTGTGTATTTATTATTGTTGCGAATGTATGAGCATGTATGCTTAAGCACTGCCTACTGCCTACGCATATATTCATCCCGCCAACCTTACTATTAGTTGCTTAATTGATTCGATGATTCATTCATCTCCCTATATATATATATATATATATATATATATATATATATTTTCCTCCTGAATTCAAGTATCATTTGGGTTTCAATAATAACGGTTACGAGGGTGATTGCTTAACGAAGCACAGCCACTGCAATTTAAAACGATGCCTAGAAGTGCTTAGGATAATAGAAATCGTTAGGTCACACCTAAGACTTTTGCACGGTATTCCACAAAGGATCACTGATTGAGGGAGCTATTCATAAGACCTTAATTTGAGTCCCCGGACTGATTTCGTGGCTCGTCATTTGATACATTCTGGAGTGGTCTGAACTTTTCTGAAGAAAATCAGGAAATACTTCGTTTATGTACTCTAAATGAGGACGAATATAACTGTTGAAGATTGTGCAGGATGTTATCCTGTCGAAATGGCCGAAAATGCTCTTGAACATTGCCGGAGAGGCACTTTTGTCATAGTTAGCATAAGACTACAGTTATAACCTAGGAAACTCCTCTCTAGTAGTACCCTAAGTAGAAGAATATCTAGGAGTCCTGGTGCCTCATGATTTAAAGTCTTACGCTAACGTGACAAAAATGCCTTCCGAGCAAACCTTGCACTGGTAATGTTGAAGCGCATTTTTGGACAGTCCGACGGAAGGACTTTCCATATGATCTTCAATAGTTTCATCCGTCCCCACTTGGAGTACGGAAACATAGTACTTCCCCCCTCACTCCAAAAGGATAAGGACACTTTGGAGCGTATCCAACAGCGAGCCACGAAATCAGTTTGAGGACTCAAATTCAAACCTTACGAAGAGCGACTCCATTCACTAGACCTTTACCCATTAGAGCATAGGCGTCCTAGAGGTGACCTATTATTGGCTTATAGTATTCTCAATACTTCTAGACATCCTCTTAAACACCTACTTAAGCGTAGTTCGAATAATAACCTAAAGGGGAACACCCAAAAACTGGAGATGAAACATAGCAAAACGGAATGTAGACATAACTTCTATTCCTTAAGAGTTGTCAAATGCTGGAAATCGCTGCCGGCTAAGCTACTCCAAGCGACTTCTCAGGAGTCCTTCAAGAGGCAACTTGACCTATTCTTAAGGACCAAGGAGAGCATCATTCTATGATTTACCAATTTCTTTTCCTCTTTTATTGTTAACATACCTAGGTTCCTGCCTGGAGGATTTGGTGATCTCCTGCTACTAGACATGGAAGCCTGTTAAGCGAAAGCTTCTTCTATTCCGTCTACAACCATTTGACTTCAGATCGTAGAGTAGAGATTTTCAACCAACGATACTTCTAGAGGGGAGTTACCTAAGTTGTATCCGTAGCCTGTAACATGTATCAGATGGACTTGAAGATGTTACAGGCATTTGGAGTTTGACAACACTTCGACCAGTGGCACCTATACATGAGTCATGCCCACCCATTGACATTAAAATCAGAAGCGAGGTGGTTCGAAGATATATTTGATAGGCTATCAATATATCGACAATCGAGTGATCTAAACTGGCTAGAGATTTAAGGAGGATTTGAGCACGATGTCCCCACTAATGTTTTAGTGCGGATGTATGACCGAGTGCCTTCAGCTAGGTGAGTCCATTAAACTAATGTAGTCACCACGCAGCGTCCAAGACTTACAGAGCGATTGATTTCGAGGATTTATTTAACACTACAGACTACTTTGCACGTTGAAGTGCCAAAGACAAGTCTGTTGTTACCTACCTGTGTTTATGAAAATAGTTTTGCTTTTTTATTAGGCGGTGCCTTATTTTGTCGACGTTTATGAAAACATAAGTACAGGGTGCGGTGTATTCAAACAGGTACGTTGCGTACATTTGTCGACAAATATCCCTCGAATACCCGACGTAAGGGGAAAAAATCAACATTTCTCTTAAATAACCGGCGTGAATACGAAAAAGCAACATTTCTCCTTTATTTACGCTTTCGTCCCCTTTATTTCCTCTTTATTGGTTGCTTGGGAGTTATTATAATGACGATATATCGTCACTTCTGTTATTTAAAAATAATATAATACCATTTTACCTCAACTTAGTGTCACGAATTAACTGTATTCAAGTTTCATGAGCATGAATTTGCTGTTTTCTACGTATGAAGTTTCTTCAATTCTCTACTTCAGCTCTTGTACTACAAAGGAAACGGCTTGATAATGCTATCTCAAACAGCTGTTCGGTTTCTTTGGATATATGTGGTTAGAAATATAAATGAGTATGTATATGTGATGCACTGATTTAGAACCATGGGTTAACTGTCAAGTTCCACTTAGCACTTTTCTAAGTGTCTCGTTGGTTAGGTTCAGAATTCTGTCATAATGGCTGCAAGCATACTGTTAGGCCTCATGGTTTCGTTGATTGGAAAGTGACTACATCAACGCAACTCAAAATACTCCTGTTATACAATGAGCGTGCTTCAATTCTCTTACTTTGCGTTTTAATCACCTAGTTTGTCTACATTGTAATATTCTCAGAACTTAGTAATTAACAAGTAAGATATCTGCTATTTTTATTTCACCTTAGCTTCCTCATGAAGTCATGAAGTATGTATTCATTGGACAGTAACTAGTCTTCAAAGAAACGGAGTGTGCTCAAAATCTTCATTTGGATTGATTTCAGGATAATTGAAACTATAGAGATCCCTTATATGTCATTGATACTTTCAGCTAAACTTATTCTCTCAATTTCCGTTCACACAAACTATGATTCTTAAGACGTATACTGTGTGTAGATCCGTTTGCTATCTACTTCACCCGTAATTATAATGGTGTATTTGTATTCATCTTCCCTCATTTAGTGTCCATGATCTTTATTCTTCAATCTCATTCTCCTTAAACTACTCTTTGTGTTTGGCTTCCCATGGTAAAGAATACTGTTACTTTGTTTTCTCTACATCATGTTTTGCTGGTTCCTCTTGCTTTGCTACTGTGACGTGACAGCTTGAGTCAGTAAAATTCGGTCCCAATTTACCAATGATTAGTTGACCGAATCACTCAGAAAATCAACATGGTTAGCGAATTTCCGATCGGCAATTTTCAATAATATTAATAAAACTTACTAAAGCACTTTGGGAGTAGTTCAGTCGGCCAGCACTGGACACAAAGCCTGCTGAAAACTAGGTTTATTCCTAAATTTATGTTGCTTCTATAAAAGTTGCTCATTATTTCATCGAAAAAGTATGTGACGTCAGTTTTAGTTTGTCCTGTACTTCTTATGCCTCTTTACTGTCATTTAAATAGCCCGTTTCAGGATAAATTCTATTCCGAGGCACTATTTCTGTGTTTTTAGACACATTACAATGCAATAATATTACCGACCGCAGTTCTGAGAGTGTTCCCAAAACAAAATTTGCACTATTGTTTTGAATTTTCTCTGTTATTCTTGTCAACTTCGTCTTATTATTCTAGTGTGTTGTGGAAAACTGTTTGATGTACATTTATCACTTGTCCTAAGTTGACTATCATCGAATGACTGACGTCGCATCACAGCATTTTGTATTGAATTGACCATCCATAAATTCAAATTACTTTAATATAGCAACGTCTTTCGGTCCCAGTGCTTAAAAATTTGTTATAACTTTTGAAAAAACCGTAGTAAAAAACCAAGAAATTGTCAGAAGTTTCCAAGACTCTCTTGCTCACTCAGGGTAACCGGATCAGAAATTGTTTTCCTCTGATAAGGTATTACTAATATTCCCTATTTTAGGCTTTTTATTTCCATGATTTCAGATTACTTTGTGTAATGTAATCTCTAGATCTGTAGATTTTTCCACACCAGTTGTTAAGTAAACAGATTACCATCATACATTGATATTTTTTATTCAGTTCCGATTCATTCTTAGGAAAACATTACGTTAATTTATTATATTAAATTTTCAGTTGTAAAGTATTCATCTACATGTTTTTCAGATACATATCTTGGATAGATGTTTGTGTTCCAGTTTCACATTTATTTTCTTCACTCTAATCACTAACTGTCAACTATTAAAAAACGCCTTCAAGACGATTACTAATAATGAACTGCAGGATCGTTGAGGGAATGATTTGCATTGCAATTGATTCAGAAGTGAACTGTCCGTGTGATGAATGCAAAAAGAGACATTTTTCTAATGGGATTTCTTTCTTCTTCCTGAAAGATAAATTCTGGGTCGAAACTGTTTCTGAAGAAGAGTTGTTTCTAAGATTAAAGGTTCACTTATTTTTTTCCGTACATGTTCAAAATAAAGACTCTTAATCCACAGTTTGAATTTCAGCGTGATATGCTCCGCCACACTATTCGTGATTGTTTTGATTTTGGAAAAGTGGTAGCTGATATCCAGGTTTGCACAGACATATGTAGTGTTTCTTTTCAGTACACCTTTGGAGAATCTGTAATAAATTGGACTAGTGATGCTGTTGTTCCTGTTTCTTCTGTGGTACCTAGTTACATTATAAAAGAATTTATTTTTAGTTGCATTATCATGTTGTTTTGCCACTTTCATTTGCACTAGAATCACTTTGTAAAAAGCAAGATTTACTCAATAACAAGTTATTGGCTCTAAATCATCATGCAAATCGGCTCCATGAAAAACTAATGCTTCCAAGTAACAATGATAATTTAAATTTCAAATTAAACTAGTGGGTGAGGATATGAAAAAAGAAGACGTGGATCTGGTTAGTTATTATTGTTGAGAACCGGCTTTAGAAATATGATGGGATGTCACTGCCCGGTTGCTTCCATCATTAATTGGGTTCTCGTCTCTTATTTTTGCTTGTAACATTTAATGTGTAACGTGAATTTAGTACCTAGATATCTATTCATGTCGATCTTATAAAAGTCCTATGAATATTTCGGAAATAAATTATTTATGATACGATTTGAACTCATTCCATCCACCTTATCTGATGGTTCAAATCTTTAGACGATTGTTTACTCTCTTGAGATTGACAGTACTTTTTAATCACTCCAGGCAAATAATTATAGGTATATTTCTAAAGGTATTAATTAACCACATACAACTTTTCACATGTAAGCTCTAGCAAAATTAATTTTTGATTTCATGGAGAATTGATCCGGAATAAATCACCTTTGGCAAAAATTTCATTCTTCATAGTCTGGAAGTTTACATTAGACTTGTTGTTTTAAGAAATGCATACTTCCAACAGTACAAGTAGCTTTTCTAAGTATTCCACAAGGAAGATTACTCAACTTGTAACCATGTAATTACATATAGATAGTAGTAGTGTTATCGTTGTAATTTGGGATGTTACAGTCATGGTGATCAATCTAATCTCATTTTGCAAACAAAAAATATGGAAAAGAATGCTTACAACTAATGAGAGTATTTCCTGAGTTGTAATTGTTCACAACAGTATTTCGCTTCATGACATTCTTTTTAAATCAAGTAAATTATGTCTCATACACCATAAGATATATATCAAGCTAGAAGCAGGTGGTAATTGTACTACGTTCCCCACAAACAATCAGTTCTTAGGATAAATAGGTTGTATCTTACAACAGAATCTAGCCCGTTACCCATCGAACTAGAGTCCATATACCCATCAATTTCTTGGGAGTTTAAAGCAAAACGTCCCGGGTTCAAGTATCATTGTAAATATAAACACTGGAATACAAATGCATTTAGTTGACCAGTCCTAAATAGCACTAAACGTGCACCTTAGATTTTACTGTTGGGTACAATCTGTCTATTGTAAAACCTTGTTACAAAATAGTTGTATTGAGGCAATCCATTCAAGATGTAGTTGTGCCACCAAAAGATGATCAAAACTCGATCCTAAATTTTTGAACGAGAATTTTTTTCGATAAATTCTCTTCAGGTTCTACAATTATATATCCAAATTAATAATTATTAGTTTGGATATATAATAGTAGAACCTGAGGAGAATTTATCGAATAGAATATTCTTCATTCAAATATTACTTACTTACTTACGCCTGTTACTCCCAATGGAGCATAGGCCGCTGACCAGCATTCTCCAACCCACTCTATCCTGGGCCTTCTTTTCTAGTTCCATCCAATTCTTGTTCATTTTTCTCATGTCTATCTCCATTTCTCGGCGTAATGTGTTCTTTGGTCTTCCTCTTTTCCTTTGACCTTCAGGATTCCATGTGAGGGCTTGTCTTGTGACGCAGTTGGGTGCTTTCCTCAATGTGTGTCCTATCCACTTCCAGCGCTTCTTCCTGATTTCTTCCTCCACTGGGATCTGGTTTGTTCTCTCCCACAGTACGTTGTTGCTAATAGTGTCCGGCCAACGGATCTGAAGTATTTTGCGTAGACAATTGTTAATAAACACCTGTATTTTCTGGATGATGGCTTTTGTAGTTCTCCAGGTTTCTCATTCAAATAGTCTTTTAATATGATGGGGATCTTTAAACGGTCAATCCTAAATATCAATAACAGGATAATTCAAACTCTTACTACAAATCATAAATCTTAAAATCAAGAACGGTTTCGATTTTTCTTTCGTTTGAAGTATCATATTCATTTGTTTCACATATTTTTTGTTAAGTCATTTTAAAACAAGTTATTTTGTCTGCCATAAACAAATTCATCGAATGGACATCTTATCATTTGAAAATCTTAGTATAGTAATTCTTTTTTAAAGTCTAGTTAATTCTAACGTTTCACACTTGTTTTAAATTCGTGGTTTTGCATATTTTTTTGTTTTGTCAGGATTTTAGTTATTCATACAACTTTTCAACAGGCTTACTTTCTTCGTCCTCTACTCAACATCTTTTTTGTGAGGCATCTAAACATTTATTCACTTCTAAAAGTATACTTCAATACTATTGTTTAATAAATTTAGTTCAAAATATGTGTGTTTCTCCGATACAACAGAAACAGCCTACACGTGGGATAATATCAAGTAATTCAAACACCAAAGATGTTCAGGTAATTTTTGTTAAATAATACGTCGATTGTCTTTTTTCTGTTGCCATAGCTCTTACCAGATAATATTTTGAATGTGAAAATGTTCTTCACTCCACGTCGATTAAATCATCTTTGAATTCCATAGTAATTTTTACTCTCAACTACTCGGATTGTTTCATGTCTCATTCGCACCATTGTGTTGAGATCTCTTTTCAATGTGAAAAAAAAAATATCTTTTACTCTTTTAGTATAAATAGATCTCAATAGGAATTTTGAACAGTTTCAATTCTTTTTTTACTACTACTATTCAAAAATTCATTTGGCAATTAAGTACTTCATTGACGAGTGAGTATTCACCAAACTATTACTCGAATTAGTAGTATTAGTAGCAGTGAAAATCTATACGGGAAATATTAATTTATGTGAAATGTTATCCCAAACATTGACTAACATAAACAGAAACAACTTGTTTCCTCAAGCTTTTAGTTAAAGCTGGGTGTAATATATATATAGTAGTAATCATATGAATTAACCGTTTTAATTTGTAGTTACCCAATATGTGACTGCCTGACGCCAACATGATAGTTCACATATATGAGTGTTCCATTTACATTATACAATGTTTGTTTACAGAAAATAGTTTGTAAAAATGAAGCCAAAAATTATTTTCGTTGTATTTAAGACGGTAAATAGAAAGCTAACTGTAAAAATTTTTGCGTTCCAATGCACTCGAATTTTCACTTTTCTGGATTGCCATATTTATTTATTTTAACACATAGATATTGGTACAAGGGGTCACCAAATATATATGCGCCGAACAAATCTCATTTGATTTTTGTGAGGGCTGTGATACTGCCCGGGTGCCAAAACTGAAGCATGTGGTTTTCTTAGGGGGCCACTCCCCGAGCCTTTGACCTGAAGGTCTAATCCACAAGGCAGTGGAGCATCGTAAGGAGATGCAATCCCATGGAAGTCGGTGACCAACAACTGCTTCATACACCATTTGTTCCCGCAGGATACTGGAGCCCATGTACACCACTGGTTTGGAATCCGGTTAAAGCGCCGGACATTCGCTTTTCGTCCTCTCATTTTCGTAACCAACACCCCAGCCACGAGAAGGCAGTAAGTAGGACTTCCCTGGCAGAGACTGTATACGCGTGGCCATGTGAGAGCGTTTCGAGAGGGAGAGCGGACTTTCTCCTCTCTCGGCCGTACCAGGGCGTTTGGGGGGCATTGACCCTCAAAAGCCCTGGATTGCCATAAAGTATAACGTTATGGAAAATCCACTGTAACCCATTCTCAAATTCCGTATCTTGAATACTATTCTTATAAACAAGTATTAATCTCGAAAGTTTAGATGTTGAATGGTCGTAGTCTATATTCATTATTTCCGGGAAACTCGACCCGTATCAACCGAAAAATTGGTCGTTTAGTCGTTATCCAAAATTTTTCAACCGTGCAAGTATCATTTATATAAGTGCTAGAAAACTCGGATTATGAGTAGCTGATTTTCATTCAAGAACACTAGCATTCTGGATCAAAAATACACTTTCTGCTCTTTTTTGTCTTCTCAGTAGTCGGGGTTGAGTCAAGGGCCATTAGGGGCGTAGTTCAAGTCCATTTGGGGAGTATTTTGCGTCTCATCCACTACTGCGTTGATATTTTGATTTGCAAAGCTAGAAATGAGTTATAATATTAACGGACTAACATCGTGAAATTATAGAATTGTTATGAACGGCTCAAATGAATGATCAAATTTGTGGAATAGATGAGATGGGTGCAGTAACTGGTTCCAAATAGATTTCAGCAAATAGAACTTCTAACCAACCAAGTGAATATATATTAGGAAGTTACAACTATTGTTTCTGTTCAAGTGATTCACTCAAGATTATATAATTGAGTTAATAAGTTGTCACAAATTAACTAGTAATCATTTCATACACATGATTCCCATTACTGACTTGAAGAGAGCTGGAACAGAATAAACGAATTCATTTTATTTATTCAAGTTCTCACATTTGTTTACAACCTGTAATGTTTCAAATAAAATTTAACATACTTGTGGATATCAAGCCGATTTAAATTCAGTGTTAAAGCATATCAGTACGATGTTATTTCCAAAACAAAGTTCTAAACTTAAAAAATAACTATTTAATTGTCTTCTAGGAAACAGAAGAGAAACGAAGAAATGAATTACAGAAAAAGTTGGCGGATAAACTGGGGAAGTCCAAAAGTAAAGAATTGAAAAGACATGGAATATTTCGGAAGTGATAAAAAATTTGAGTCGTATTAATCATAGAAACTTCAACTTGCCTTTTTTCCTGGTTACTTATTAATCGCAGAAGTTGAGATATTGGGAATTCTTTGTTGGGTAGTTGCCTATCGGGATTCAGTAAGTTACAGTAGTTTGCGTGTTAGCAACATTTTGCACTCATACACGATTCGCTTCCATAAGATTCTGTTTCTAACAATATTTTGACAATCATTCTAAATCGTAGGGAATAGTACTCCAAGTCGGATGTAACACAGAAAGCATATTACTTTACTTATGCCTGCTACTGCTCGTAAGTATAGGCTGCCGACCAGAAATCTCCAACCAACATTTTCCTTCCTAGTTGTTCCCAAGTGCTATTCATTCTTTTGATGTCTGCCTCTAATTCTCAGCGCAATGTGTTCTTTGGTCTCCCTCTTTTTCCTTTTGCCTTCAGGACTCCAAGTTAGGGCTTGTCTTATGATGCAATTTAACCATTTACGTAAAGTGTAACCTACCCACTCCCAGCATATTTATGAGTGAATCGATTCTTGTGATTTTAAAAGAGGCGTTCGATATACTCTTTTATAATGTGAAATATTTACTTTCAAGATAAGTGAAGTTGTCAACGCGTTCGACTGCTTCATTACCCATCCTCATTTTAGGTGTTAAAGCAGGCCAATCCTGAAGCAACAACTTGCATTTAGAGGGCAAGAAACGCATCCCAAACATTCTGGCATTGTTGCTCAGTGCTACCCAAAGACTCTGCATTTTATCAACGTCTTGATGTCTGACGAAATCTCAGCACGGATTCCTGAAGCTCGTTTAGCTTTCCTCAACTTACGTCACCTATGGCGTAGGCGAGATATCCGTCTATCAATAAAACGATGAGTATATTGCGCGGCAGTTCGTTCTGTTCTATTTTACGGTCATGAGACATATCCATTAAGAGTATTAGGTACTCGTCAGTTACTAGTATTTGATCACAGATGTCTCAGAAGTATAGCTCGCATCTTCTGGGATCACCGGGTAAGTAATAGTGAGGTTAGACGTAGGGTATTACGTAATGATGGTAAATCAGTTGATGAGGTTATGAATCTTCATCGACTGAGATGGTTGGGCCACGTGTTACGTATGCCTGAACACCGATTACCACGACGTGCAATGCTATCCGGTATTGGAAATGGCTGGAAGAAAGTTAGGGGCGGCCAAACCAAAACGTGGCATCAGTGCTTGAAGTCACTAACTTCTAGTCTGAGCCATGTTGGTAGATGCAGACTACTTGGTTGGGGTCCGCGTGACTATCGTATCCAATGGCTGGAGACTCTTGGTGATATGGCTCTGAATCGATCACAATGGCGTCGGTGTATACACTCCCTGTCTTCCCTTAAACTAAGAGATTAAAATCGCTTCATATCTTTCTTTCTACGAACCAATTCTTTCTTCTTGTACTATATCTCTATATGCAATCTTTCTCTTATATATTACCACCTTTGACCTAACCACTGCTATGAATCCGGTGTTCATCGTGTTGTGCTGTGATGCGGTATGGCAACCTGGACCGATGCATATATGTGCCTGGTCCTACGTTTTAGCTGACTGACTGCAGCCTTAGTAAAAATATAAATGCAATTATGATAAGTAAAACTAGTCTTAGTGACAGATCCTCACCATAATTCCCGATGGATTAGTATGAGCGATTCAGCACATGGTTATTTTTTTATTAGTAGATAAATTAATATAAAGTTTCACTAGTCTTCAGAAACGACTACACAATTATCTCCAGTCCGATTTTTGAATCATGCCGTATAGTAACCGAAATCAGTGATACAGCTTGAAGTGGTTAACTGAAATGAAACTCAGGATGTATTGCCCATACAGTTTCATACTATCCATGTATCGCAAAATAAATTTTGATACAGATAAACTTTTACCAGTTAAAAATAATTAATTTCTACAGAATTTTCAGTCAGTTCAACAAGAGTCGATCTTCACGTGATGAAAGAGCTCTTGAGTTTTCGGTATGAAGCGTAAGGCGGCAGAACCATGTACACAGAAGGTACTGTCTCATTGTATTTGGAACCGTTTGAAGACAATCAAGATTGTTTCCTACTGACTATCACCGGTCAAAAACATTAAAACTTCGGTTTACAAATAAATATACTATGAACATTACGCTTGACTCTATATAAGCGGAAATACTTTATGCGATTGTTTCTTAAACCATTCGATCGGCATTAGCACTTGTTAGGATTTTGATGCTTGAAAAGTGTCTATACAATTAAGGTGATTAAAATAGTTTTACTTGAATATTACCACACTTCACTATATTCTTTATTTATGTACATTTAAAAAAGCAACTCGATCGTCGTATTATGCATACTAAATAAACCTGTTTTATTTTACATGGAGTGTTTTTTATATTACACTGAACTATACAAAAAATAATCGAAGATGGTAAAGTAAAAATCAAGTATGATGGAAACACCAAAAAGTTGAAAATACGGAAATTATACATTAAGTATGCAAGATCACATTGAAAATTTACTTCTTTTTAAAAAATTACAGTAATTGACAAATTTACAAAAAAAAACTTATTTTAGAAAGACTAACTGTATGGTAGAGGCTAAAAACATGGATATCTGTGTAGTGAAGAGTCGACCTTTTAGTGGATAGTCTTAAATCACGATGTTACATTATCCGTTGAATATGTTTCATTTAAATGTGGATTCATACTAAACTGTTCTAGAAAGGCTTGTTTAACAGACATCACATGCCGTGCAAGACGTACAGCATCATTCCAGCGTAAACCAACTAGTCTATGCAGAACTGGTAAAGTTAATAACATAAATGCTTGCCCATCTACAGCTTCCGCTGCAAGCCATGGCCACATTTCTCGACAATCGGTACTGCCAAGATATGAAGCTAAGTCAACAGGTGTCCAAAACATAGGATTGCTTGGTAAAACTACTCTTGGAATATTGCAGAGCCACGAGTCAATATCTCTTTCCATTAGTGGAATATGGTTTGGAGGTAGTTGTGCGGTAACTGGACTGTTACTGTGTGAAGAATTTGGAATGTTGGGTACGGTTAAGCAGTAACTTGATGGGGCGGCTGATAAATGATTCAGGTGCCATGAATGCTGCAAGTTAGGGACAGGAGGGGTGTGTACATTTTTCGGGGTATCAAAGGCAGCAGTACACGCGGGATGGCTGTGTGATTCACGAATGGATGATGTCTGATGGTTTACCATAATTGTATCCGAACTAATGATACGCTTTTTGCCTGTTGGATTGACAAAGTTGGAGCGGACAGATCTTTTGGATCCAGTACGCCCATTGTTAATGTTTTTGAAGCCATTCGAGATATTTTCATTACCATGTTCCATGGAGTTTCGTGAGTAGTTTTGATGCTTTCGTTTGGCTCTGTTCACAAGGTTATTATTCTTTGAATTAGGAACTTTGCAACTATTTGATTGAAAAAAGGATTGGGACTCAAGCTTATTAACCCAATTTAAATTGTTTTGTAA